CAGAACAGAAAACCACTTTAAGCTGCCACTGAACAAAAACAAAATTATGTATTTTGATGATCATTTGATCATTGTGATGAGTTTGTGCCCCTTCAGTCACACAAGAAAAGATTTCAAATAGCAGAAGTATAAATCGGGTGTCAGATTGTGTTCACATAAAATATGTTCTGTTGAAAGAACAGCCATTAAAACAACAAATAATACTATGGGTTTGTTAATAGGCATATAGCCACATATTTCCTTTTGAGCAGTGCTTCTACAAAAATGAATGTGGAATGTCTATATTTGTACTTCTACTGTACATTCTCAAGTTGATATATGTGTTGCTTTTTAGTGATTGTTTTGTTCTTATAACATGTTTGTTCTGCTTTATTAGGTACAAACTCTGGATACAAAGCATGCACTCAATCCAAGCACTTCATTTGGTCACTGGAGCAATAAAAGCATAGAAATTCATATTTAATTTTGACGTGGGCAAGAAGAATATATGAACTGCAGGGTTGTGTGCCATTCGGAACAGAATTGAGAATGCCTTTCAAATTCCAATTGAATTTTAAAACGTAGAATTAAAATGAAATAAAAAAACATGCGATTGCTAGTTTTTATACATTACCACTGCATAATATTGATTTCATTAATTATAATTAATTTATTTAATATATAATGTATATTTACATATATATTTTATATACATGATAACAGTACACACACATATATTATGTAAACAACAACTTTTATTAATCGTGATTAATCGTTTGACAGCACTAATTACTGTAAGACACAGATCCCGGTGACACAGTGATGGACAAATATAAGTTGGAGGAACATTTATATTTCAGCAGTGTTGGCGGTAATGCATTACAAGTAACCAGTGTTGGGCTAGGTACTCAAAAAATGTAATAGCTTATATTACTCATTACTACTCCTTTCAAAAGTAATAGGCTTATTATTACTTTACTTATTACTTTCTGGCAACAGTAATTAGTTACACTACTAGTTACATTACTTTTCTTTCATGCCCCACATAAATTGCATATCTTCCCCATAAAATTATTCCAAAATGTTACTAACAATATATTTCTGCCTCATCATTTGATCAAAATCCACATTGGATCGCAGTCAGTTATTACAGTTATTACAGTTATTGTAAAGTTATTACAAACCACTCAGTGGTGATTATAATAGAAAAGTTTAAGTAAAGGTGTTGTATTCATCTCATTAATTGTCATGTGAAGCTTGAAGCTGATTGTAGCTACAATTTCTCTGTTATACCCATATACGAATATATTCCCTGATGCATTTTATCAAAAGAAATCATATAAGTTCATAAGAAAAAATTGTATTCTCTAAAAAGTTTTTATACAATTTATATCAGGATCAGAGGGAGTAAAGTAATGCCACAACTTCCATAATGCCACAACTCAGTGTTCAGATCATCTTTTCTCCTGAGAAAATCAATGTCATGCCAATATTTCCATTCGCTGAATGTAAGCTTTTTCATATTCCATATGTCTGCTGCACTGGTGACTTCATGTGCCTGTGCGAGTTGTGAAAATTATTGGATTGTTGGACTTTAAATCAGTAGAGGTTGAGGCTTCGAAAGTAACTAAGTAACTAGCTGTTTTATGGATAGTAATTGTAATGTTATTACTGAAATCTTATTAGTAATTACTGCAAAAAGTAATATTATTACTGTAACTATTTACTAGGATCTATGCCCAACACTGCAAGTAACGCAAGTTATGTAATCAGATTACTTTCTTTCAAGTAACTAATAAAGTAACGCTTACCTTTTAAATTTACAAGAAAATTTGAGTTACTTTTTCAAATAAGTATTGCAAGTTGTTTTTCCATTTATTTACTGATGCCGCTCCTGTCCCCCTGTCATGAGAAATTGAGAGTAAATGCAGAGGCACTTCCTTCAGCCTTAGGCTTATTAATTTCACTTTTGGTGTGAAAGGGTATTTACAGTTGCCAAAAGGTGACAAAAAGAAACGTAATGCATTACTTTCCATAAAAAGTAACTAAGTAATCCAATTAGTTACTTTTTAATGGAGTAAAAAAGTTCAGTCAGAAAACTTTTGTTAAATAACTTTCACTCGCAAAGAATGCAAAAGTTACATTTTTTACATTAAACACTTACATTATATTCATTTTAAACTGAATATAAATAGACGTAGGGCCTATTCAGTTGTTTCTTCAGTTTATACATCCAAACAAATCTACAGCTATATTGAGATGACTGTCAAAAGTGACCCAACATAACCAAAATTCATCTTATTTAAGATGTGAAAGGCTTAATCACACTTTCAATTAGTAAAAAGCAAACACAAAATGCTGTTAAAATCATACATTTTATTGAACTATTCATTCAAATCGTCAAAATCTGTTAAAATATTAGAGAACCACTAACAAATCAAACATAACGAAACAACAATACCACTATTAATAATAAAATCATAACATTACACTCACTTTAATAAATCCATTTTATTTTGTTCCCCATTCATCACACTTTCACATTAAAAAAAAAAAAAATGAAAAGAAGAAAAGCACTATTTATGAAGTAGAGAAAAATGAATATATGTTAATATTTGGGACATTTTTCACATGAAAATTGTCAGATGCAAGTACATGTGGGTTAAAAGAGCATATTTTCTTATTGTGAAAACATTCATTCTTTTAGGCGTGTAAGAGTGAATCAAGTGCTTTAGGATGTAATAATGAGTGCCTCGCTGCAAAATATTCCTAGCAAAATGAATTTCATAAAGAAGGCCTGACGTCTGAAGCCACAAATATTTTCAGAACAGAAAACCACTTTAAGCTGCCACTGAACAAAAACAAAATTATGTATTTTGATGATCATTTGATCATTGTGATGAGTTTGTGCCCCTTCAGTCACACAAGAAAAGATTTCAAATAGCAGAAGTATAAATCGGGTGTCAGATTGTGTTCACATAAAATATGTTCTGTTGAAAGAACAGCCATTAAAACAACAAATAATACTATGGGTTTGTTAATAGGCATATAGCCACATATTTCCTTTTGAGCAGTGCTTCTACAAAAATGAATGTGGAATGTCTATATTTGTACTTCTACTGTACATTCTCAAGTTGATATATGTGTTGCTTTTTAGTGATTGTTTTGTTCTTATAACATGTTTGTTCTGCTTTATTAGGTACAAACTCTGGATACAAAGCATGCACTCAATCCAAGCACTTCATTTGGTCACTGGAGCAATAAAAGCATAGAAATTCATATTTAATTTTGACGTGGGCAAGAAGAATATATGAACTGCAGGGTTGTGTGCCATTCGGAACAGAATTGAGAATGCCTTTCAAATTCCAATTGAATTTTAAAACGTAGAATTAAAATGAAATAAAAAAACATGCGATTGCTAGTTTTTATACATTACCACTGCATAATATTGATTTCATTAATTATAATTAATTTATTTAATATATAATGTATATTTACATATATATTTTATATTTTATTTAACACAACATTTTATAAAAATCATATATACACAAAATGCTATATTATAGAAATATTAATTATATATTGTTATTATTTTAAATATGAATAATTAATTAATAATTTGACTAATTAGTCAATATGAATGTTAATTATTTTTCATATAATTATAACTAATATAGTTCATTAATAAAATTGTGTTTTCCTTGTTGCAAAATGTGGACCAATGAAATATCACTGCTGTGTGAATGTGTGCATTTTTTTTTTTAATTGCAGTTCAGTAAATTCATCTTCCTCTAATTCCAGTTTAACATCCTGTGGGTCTTGACCAATGCAAATCAAATTCACATTCATGCACTGAAAAGCTGTTTAACTCTGAATTCTGCTCAACCTTGTATTTGTCAAGCTACAGAAAGCAAAAACCAGGGCTGCAAAATCAATCCTTCAGACTAACAGCAACCATCAGGTGCTAACGTCTGAAATCCCTTTATATCCGAACCTATCCTTATCCTATAAAACAGGAACACTATAAAAAACATGTCCACCCGTCAAGAACAAAAGAGGATAGAACCAAAACAGTAAAGGCAATAGCAGCAAAACGGGGAGGAGGGAGAGTAAAAGACGATAGGATCGAGGGAGCGAGTGAAACTGTTCGATCTATACATCCTGCGGAAGAGGAGAAGTATTGCTCACACCCACAATTCACAATCCATCATCACTGAAGAAAAGCAGGATACATTTGCCATGCGGGATTCATACGTCTCATATCCAATATTCAGTAAACTCTCACTAATGTACAGTAGCTCTCTTTGGAACAGCAAACTCTCACTCGGAATCATCAGCTGTTGCTATACCTGTATATTGTGCCGCTGGTATTTGCGTGGGTAATATTGGTGTTAAGGTGTAAGGAATGAGGGTGTGCAACATGTGCGTCTTGAGTCTCTAGTATAAATTGTACTTAATTCCATGATTTGCTTAATTCAAAAACTGAGCTGCTTTTACAGATATGGGTCAATGACAAATGAGACTGTCCACCATAAAGAATTAAAAAAACGTAAATAAAAAAAAATCTATTTTAAAGCACATGCCAATTTGTATTCTTTGTATTGATGTATGCTGGTTTTATATGGCTTTTAAAAATGTTTATACCTTACAGTTTTTATTGAAATTAATTAAGGACATTTCATGAATTTTTATTCATAATTATAATGAAGAATTTTCAGTCGCACCACATGACATTTTACAACATTGCTGTGTCATAAAGATGTCTAATTATTATATTAACCTAATGATATTAATTTCCCATTTTTTTCCTGCATGTTGGTTAAACCACGTGATTTTGATTTAGCAACAAAAGCAAAAAAAAAACAAAAAAACATTAATAAGCAGTGAAGCAGTTTTGTTAAAATATTACACATTTTTGTAAAGAATAAAAATAGAAAAGTATGCCAAATTTCTTTTCAAGAACTTCTTTATAACAGGACAGTTCTGTCATTTTTATGAATTTTTAAATTCTTAATCTTAATTCAGAATATAAAATCATGCTCATCAAAGAAGAGGTTTATTCAACTCTTTCTATGTATAAATTGCATTTTAAATCTATTTTTAACGAATGAATAAATCTGGACCAAAAAAAGTCACTGACCCATATTCTGAAGGTTTGTTAATTCATGATTAGCACATAAAGGCTGAAAAGTGTGGCAGTGACTTAAACTAACAGATTCCTGCTGGTCCATCTGAAATGTTCTGCAGGGATTTGGTCTGCTCAAATAACTGGTGTGATTCATATCTGTTTCATGTGTATTCGTAGCATTCATATCGGTGTATATCATTATAGCTTTACTAAGCACACACAGAAAAGAACCTCAGTGAAGTCCTGACATAGTAGCTGCAACTAGAAAAAGAGACGACATCAAAGTCATGGATATGATTGTTAGCTGCAATCAGATATGGGGCTTATCAAACGATAAGGATAACTGATTTTTTTGCTGGCTCCATAATCACATTCCTCATCTTTCCTTAACTTGTATCGCCTGTACTGTTTTCACAAGCGGAAGTGCAGACGCGTGACAGTGTTTGTAAAAGCACGTATTTCTCTGACTACTAGAAGAGAGAGACTTTCTTTTTCAGGACGTTCTGCTTCCAAAGGGAGAGCTGGTCGAATTCCTCTATGGACATTCCAAAGACATTCTGGAATTCCTCAGGTGACAGGTGCCTCTGGAGAGAGAGGTTATGTGGTCAACGTTTCCCAGCAGAACAGTGCAACAGGGTAAAACAATGAGCGAAAGCAATGTCTACCTCCAGACTTGTCCTGTCTACACCGGGAGGGAGCTTGTTTCTGCCTCTGTGTGTCACAATGAGCATCTCATATGGGTAAATCTGCCAAACAAATATATGTTCATAACAATATTAATGAACCAGCATCAAACTGTCACTTTAAGTAACAATATACTGTATACAAGAGCTCATATATACAAGCATTAAACACAATAATCTTAATTAGTTGGCAGATATGGTTACAACACCTTTTGTTCCAGCATACTAGGGAGTGAATTCCCTCTGTCTATGCTTCTGCTTTGGGCATCTCCGTTCTATAAAAGAGAGGAGACCACCATAAGACCACATACCACAACTGTGATTTGTGCAGTTGTTACAACAATCTGATTGTAAATGTTGTAAAACTAATGAGATTGAAGGTTGCAGAGCTTGACTTAATAAACTATTTGATTATTTCTGAAATGCTAACACTGAAATTGTCAGCATATGAGTGGCTTGTATTGTATTCGTTACTGAAGTTGGTTTAAAATAAAATTGATAAATTCATCTGTTCATCTGTTTAAAAAACATTTATTTTAATGTAAACTATTACATACCTGGAAATCTGTAAAAAAAAAAAAAGAGGGAGAGAAACAAATGATAATACAATGAGCATGGGGTATAAAACATTTAATTCAATTTGATTTATATTCATTTAAAAAAGGTGAGAATAGAACACAAAACACAATACAACAGAAAAATGACTCTCGGCACTCTAAAAAAATTTGAATAAACATACTACATTCTAAATAGAATGGAACAGAATTGTGACTCTTAATGACTGATATATTTTATAATTACATTTATATAAAATCAGTGCTCTAACTACTGTAAAAATAGAATTATGATTTATAATACTGGCACTCTGAAGTGTAACAAATGTTAAAAAGACAAAAATTAATAGAATAGAATAGAAATCAGTGCTCGTAATACTGTAACTTACTCTGATTAAATTTCAAATAAACATGGCAAAAACTGACCTTCTATTTAGATGAATAACAATAGATTCGTAGAATAGAACAGAATAGAATTACACTATGACAATGCTGGCACTCTACATTACTGTTTAGAATATAATAGAATTATGACTCTTAAAACTGGCACTCTGATTGAAGTGTAAATAAATATGACAAAAATGACTACTATTAATAGAATAGAATAGAATAGAATAGAATAGAATAGAATAGAATAGAATAGAATAGAATAGAATAGAATAGAATAGAATAGAATAGAATAGAATAGAATAGAATAGAATAGAATAGAATAGAATAGAATAGAATAGAATAGAATAGAATAGAATAGAATAGAATAGAATAGAATAGAATAGAATAGAATAGAATAGAATAGAATAGAATAGAATAGAATAGAGATCAGTGCTCTTAATACTGGAACTTGCTCTGATAAAATAAACATGGCAAAAAACTGATCTACTATTTAGAAAAGAATAGAACAGAAAGAATAGAACAGAATAGGATTACATCATGACAATACTTGTACACTTAATTACTATTTTGAATAGAATAGAATAGAATTATGACTTAAAACTGGGACTCTGTTTGAAGTGTAAATAAATATGACAAAAATGACTACTATTAATAGAATAGAATAGAATAGAGATCAGTGCTCTTAATACTGGAACTTGCTCTGATAAAATAAACATGGCAAAAAACTGATCTACTATTTAGAAAAGAATAGAACAGAAAGAATAGAACAGAATAGGATTACATCATGACAATACTTGTACACTTAATTACTATTTTGAATAGAATAGAATAGAATTATGACTTAAAACTGGGACTCTGTTTGAAGTGTAAATAAATATGACAAAAATGACTCTTTATTAAATTACTCTACTATTAGATAGAGAGAATAGAGATGAGTGCTTATAATACTGGAACTTTGAAAACATTTCAAACAAACATGGCAAAAATTTGCTGTACTCTTTATAACAGAATAAAATGGAATACAATTATGACTCTTGATAATGACACTGATTGAAGTGTAGCAAATGAAAAAATAATAATAGAATTGTGCCTTAATACTGGTGCTCTAATTGAAGTAAAAATAAACATGACAAAATTGCTCCACTATTAGGATAGAATAGAATAGAATAGAGATCAGTGCTCTTAATTCCGGAGCTTTGATTCAATTCCAAATAAACATGGTAAAAATCGTTCTACTCTTTAGAACAGAATAAAATAGAATACAATTATGACTCTTAATGCTGCCACTCTGATTGAAGTGTAACAAATGCAAAAAAAACAGTACAGAACAGTACAGAATAGAATAGAATAGAAATGTCATAATCCCCACACTTACTTTGACTCCCTTTATCACTGTTTGAAGAGGAGAACTCTGCAGACTGGAGCTGTAACACACAAACACCAGACTAATTAAATCAGTGTAATTAAGGATGGATCTCACAAAGCTGACATATCAAAACAGATTTCATTTTCTCACCCTAGTCAGGCCAGTCTTAGTGTAGGAAGGAAATGAGGGGGATTTGGAGGCTGCACAAAACAAAAGAAGAAACATGTTAATATAGTGACACAAATAGCATTCAAATAATCATCTTAACCAAGCAATGATGCTGAAGCCAACATGTTTTCTATTAGGGATATGTGATGTGTCGTGTGTATGCAGTGCATCTCTTCAACCAGAAGGGGCCACTGTAAGTACAAGGTCAACTGGCTTTTGTGATTTACTCCAATCACATCCATTTTCAGTGCCACACAATACAAAGTATAATGCAATGATCAAAACGGTTCAAATTGAGTTCTCTAGACTCTGACCTTTCCCCTAGAGACCTATAAACTCTAATCTGATTCAGATTATTAGTCTGCCGTGCATAAACTCTGATTGCAGGTGGAAAGACTGACTCAGATGTCCAGTACACACAACAGCTGCTGTCAGTAATGCTGCTCATCTCTGAGTATCTTTCTGTTCTGTGATTCCTTATGAGACAGTTTTGTGAAAATCACGTCCACACAGTGACAACCACACAAGCACATTGAAATGTACCCAGATGCATGTGTGTCCTGTCGGGCAGAGACCGTGTTTTCCTTCGGACAGGGGCTGTACTTTCGATCTCCTCCTTTAGTATCAATTTTCCTAGATTGGATTGAATCTGTGAAGAGAGAGAGAATGAGAGGAGAGGTGGACACTGAAACATTATACCCAGACTGAGAGTCTGAATTGATCAGCTTGGCTCCCTGTTTCGACAAGAAATGCAAGAATCCCTACAGATTTGTCCTTCATTTGAAACCAACTGTGGCCTTCACTTGAAGGTCGAGTGAGACAAATGATCTCACAAATAAGAGCCAACCCAATAAACCTTTAGCCTCGGTTTCTTAAAAAAATAAGGTTTAAGAAAAACGGAACAGGAGAAAAGTGCAAATGTATAATATAAAATATATAAATAAATAAATAAATAAATAAATATACAAAAAGTTAAATATTTTTATTAATAAAACTGCATGTACACTACTGTTCAAACTTCTGGAGTTCAAAAGATTTTTGATGTTTTTGAAATAAGTCTCTTATGCTCACCAAGGCTGCATTTATATGATCAAAAACACAGTACAAATAGTTTAAAACAGCTTTCTGTTTTAATATATCTTAAAATAATTATGAGAAATTAATTCCTATGATGGGTTTCAAAGCTGAATTTTCAGCATCATTACTCCAGTCTTCAGTGTCACATGATACTTCAGAATTCATTCTAATATGCTGATTTGCTCCTCAAAAAATGTATTATCAAATGTTTTATTATTTATGATCATGATCATCATTTAAGTATATTATCAATGTCAAAAACAGTTGTTTTTATATTTTTTTGGTGAAAAATGTGAAACATTTTTACAGGATTCTTAAATGAATATAAAGTAAAAAAAAAAAAAAACATTTATTCGAAATCTTATAAAAATGTCGAAAAACTAAAAATGTCTTAACGGTCACTTTTTATTCATTTAATGCAGTCTTGCAGAGTAAACTTATTAATTTCTTGAAATAATAATAATAATAATGAATAAATAATACGAGAATGAAAAAATGCAATTTAGAATAGTTTAACTTCAGGAAATTGCTTGACACATCACAATTACCCTTGAACAGCCACTGTAAGTTTACAGATAAGATCATTTTACGGACAAACACCTTGTTGAGCTCTTGTTTCTGCATTTGCCGAAGTCTCCACATGTCTTCAGAAAGATCACTGTCATCATACTTATCATCCTCCTCACCCTCCTCTCCCTCAGCCACCCTGGACGCCACACTCTTCCTCCGCTCTTTCTCTGATACAAACACGTGATCGTGAGATAAAGAGTGTAAAAAACAAGTCGATGAACAACTACCACATCAACAAACTGGGCCTCGATACTGTGCTGTTAGCATTAGCATCTAGCTAAATTCATTACTGCCCAGAGGGAAATTTTATTTCCATGTATGCGTGTACACTGAATTATTTCCATGAAGGCATGTAGCAGATTGTGTACAGCAGGTTGTGATCATGTTGATAGCGTGTGAGTGTACCGATAACAGCTAGTGAGGGAGGGCAGGGCCAGTAGTCCGTCTCTATCTTAGAGGGCTGGTTGGGGTCTGGAGGTTGTGCGGCGGGAAACTTTGAAGACTCAATGATTAAATCCTCCATGTGTTTACTGTGTGGAGCGGCTGCTGAGACATCTACATCCATCCAAATACACAGACACATCTGAATGCTCCAGAATTACACCATTTACACTTTGATTTAAACTCAAGAGCAGTGTTGATGTTTCATACCTTGTTTATATATTGGTGGCTTCTTGTATATGTCGGTTCCATTGTCTAGGAGGAAAAGTGAGGTTGTTTTGTTTAGTTTTAGAGTCTGATGTTGACTGAGGTTTGTTGGCTGTGTTTGTGAGGTGCTGTAGTACCTAACCTGGCCTGTGGAAGTGCTGTTGCTGGTGTGGGACTTTTGTGCTGACGGTGATGCTTTTACTCAGCTGTGTGGACGCTGGAGACGAGCTGCCTGAAGACTTGGGCTCTGACCAATCCCTCTGATAGACATCCTTTGATAGACTGTTCTGGAATTACATGTAGAAGGACTGTGTGATTGAGAATCATGCAGAGAGACTCTAAAGCAGATTCTAAAATAGATAGTTTGGTCCTTGAACCTGGTGAAATAGCTGTGATACAAGACCTCTGATGTTAAAAGGGTTTTCTTTCAAAAACTTAGAGAGGGGGAATTCCCCAAACTTTCCTTAATATAGTTTGTTTGATTTATATACAGTATTTGTGCTATATGTATTTAGGAACACCTTGCACATAATTCAGTGAAAATGGTAATAAAAATATACAATATTTAATATTAAGCAGCACAACTGTTTTCAACACTGATAATATCAAGAAATGTTTCTTGAGCAGCAAATCAGCATATTAGAATGATTTCTGAAAGATCATGTGACACTGAAGACTGGAGTAATGATGCTGAAAATTCAGCTTTGCATCACAGAAATAAATGACATTTTAAAATATTTTAAAATATAAAAGAGTTATTTTAAATAATTTAAAAATTACAGTTTTTACTGTATTTTTTATTCCAATAAATGCAGCCTCGTGAGCATAAGCGACTTTGTTCAAAAACATAAAAAAATCTTACTGACAACAAAGTATAATATAATGTATAGAATTTGTAACCTAAATGTCTATGTTATTTGCAAACTACCTTCTTTCCATTAAACAAACATTTACTTCTGGTCCTCTAATCTGACTGGCAAAACCTCATGTCATGGCATATATTAAAATGTATATGACATATTTGTGATTTTCACGGACATGTACTATGCATCTTACCTCTGGGGATGGAGGAGGGGAGATTGAACGAGGAGATAATGACCTCTAGAGAAAGAAAAAGAGAGATACAGACAGAAAGAGTGAAAGGGAGGTCAGTTGTTGGCAGTAAGTGAGATATCCAGACATTTCCACAGACAGGTTTACAGACTTAATGAAGCGTAACGCTTCCATTACAGTGAAACAAAAAAGGAAATTACAGTGGGAGAGCCGAGCTAACATGGCGTGTGTGTGTGTGTGTGTGTGTGTGTGTGTGTGTGTGCTGATCTCTGTCCAGGCGCTCTGATGGCGAGACATCACACCCAGCAGGAAACTAACCAGTGAACACATCACACACGCTGACAGACAGAGTGTGTTACAGAATGAAAGTCTGACAAATCAACAGCTTTGAGTCTATGAGACAATGACCCAAATAGACTGTCAGACCTCATCACCAAATAACAGCACAACACTACCATTCAAAAGTCTGGGGTCAGTAAGATGTTTGAATATTTTTGAAAGAAGACTATAACGCTCACCAAGCCTGCATTTATTTGATCAAAAATACAGTAAAAACAGTAATATTGTGAAATATTATTACAACTTAAAATAACTATCTTCTATTTGAATATATTGTAAACTGTAATTTATTTCTGTGAGCCAAAGCTCAATTTTCAGCATCAGTCTTCAGTGTCGCATGATCCTTCAGAAATCATTCTAATATGCTGATTTGCTGCTCAGGAAACATTTCTGATTATTATCAATACTGAAAACAGTTGTGCTGCTTAATATTTTGTGGAAACAATCATATAGTTATTCAGGATTCTTTGATTAATAGAAAGTTCAAAAGAAAAAAAACTGAACGAATTTAATGCATCCTTTCTTTAAAACTAATCTTACTGACAACAACATTTTGAACAGCATATTTGCTGTATATACTGTGTATTACCTCCATCGGTGAATAGCTGAAGTGGGGCTCATACATCATCAGGTCAGGCCTCTCTATATCCAGAATGGCCTTGTCTTTAGGTATAGCTGCTAGATCCTTATATCCAATCACTTGATTGTCCATTTTGGCCTGTATTAATCCAAAATATGAAAGAATTACATTTGTGCTACAATTTTGAGACACAGTTATTATTACAGTTAGTTCTGGTCCTTGAATGTAATTGGATTGACTGCATTCTGTATTGCAATCAAGATGTTGGTCCACTGTGTGTGGGCCTAGTTAAGTGTAATCTGATGTGGCACTGCTGCTATACACACCACTATAGTGACCGCCGGGGATCCAGGAACACCTCCTCCATGCAGAGAACAAACGCTGCCCGGGGAGGTACGGGCCGACTGCTGTTCACAAACACACACAGGTCAAAGGTCAAACATCACATGGACCTTTTCAGTGTTTTATGATTATGTATTATGTTATTTCTTATGAACAAATAAGAAATCTGATATGAAAAAATTACTTTTAATTACCTTATGCATCATCATTTTGAATGAGAAAGTGCTCCCTTTATGAGGTCACTGTGAAAAAGAAGAAACTGTAAATGAGAACGAGGCTTTGATGTCAGATGGCTGGGCGATAATATAGTTACATTTTGCGTTCCCATATGCTCCAGATATTTTTGTGCATTATACAAACACACATGTACACATACACCCCTTGATCTGGAGCCAGACCCTGTCTGTGTGATGGTTTTAAAGATGGACAAGAGGTCTGAATGGATTTCTGTGGCTAATGTATTCGATTAAGAGCTCAGTGAGCGGTCTTGTATGGTAGGTTTCAGGTTAGAAAAAAATCAATAGATAGTCAAAGAAACTAATGGGAAATGAATATCACAAATTTTATCTCTTATGCATCTCAAATGATCCTTTGTATAGACTCGACTGACATGTCATTTACTTGTAACTATCTGCCTCAAACCCATTTCTGAATATCTTTAATAGACTTTAATGATTTTCGGGGCAGACCACCATTTCCCTCAGCAAAGAAGTGCTGATATCAAACTATTAATTAGTACTAAAAAAGTATTAATGAATGTCATAAATTAACCAATCGTATAATTCTTAATAAATACAGTTTCCATTTTCCTCTTTTACATAATCACTTAAATAGCACTCTTAATGCCAAATTAAACCAATAGAAGTAAGGAAACCTGAGACAAAATGATAAGTAAAACATAACTGAGAATGCATGACGTCTCCTATGAAAGACCAAACCATGTTTACTTTGGGAAGGGTGTGAGAAGAGAAGGAGATACAGACTCTGATGTAAACACAGTGAAAGAAAAGATAGCGGCCTGGGTGGCAGAGAAGGGGGGAGGGCAGATAAATGGATAGAGAGGATGGATAAAGAGAGACGGATGGATGGAGAAAGAGAAGGATGGGGGAGGGATGTGATGGAGATGGAGAGGGATGATAAAACACATTACATCCCTGCAGTCGGCACAGACGGATAGCGTGACAGGCGACAGTGACTCCCTTCCCCCATTTAACCAGGAACTATGTCAAGTGCAAGTACAAATCCTGACAGTCTTCTAAAAATGAGTCAAATTAGGGTTCGTATTGGGACTGAGGATTAGCATAAAAGCACAAAAATACAAGTACAGAACTAAAAGCACAGAAAACTACAATAACAGTATATTTATTTACAGCTTTATCCATTATTCCATTACTAAAAACATTATTTTTGGTTAATTCAAATGAGCTAAAATAACACAAATAAACTTCATTTCATTGTTTACAATCAGTTTACATTTTTTAAATGGTTTATTTACAGGTCTAGTTCACCCAAAAATCATTTGTTCACCATCATGACCTTATTTCTTCTCTGAAACACAAATGTAATTTTGTACAAACAATGAAAGTTAATGGGGTCTAATATGGTGAAATATCTTCTTTTCTGTTCCACAGAAGAAAGTCACAGAAATATCATTTTTGGGTGAACTGTCCCTTTAATCCATTTACATTTAGATTTCATGAAGAATTTTCATTGGCCAGAAGCAGATTGACACACAAAAAAAATATTTTTTTTAAATCTGCTCTCATTCATCCATTTAATTTATAGATATAGGTTTTATCTGGATTTTTTTTGGAAAATATATCTAAAGCAAAAATGCTGGGTAAAATCTGGACAAACCCAGTGATTGGGTTGTTTTCAACCAACAGTTGGGTTAAATGTTTAACCCAACCTTCTGGGCAGTAGCCCAACCGCTGGGTCAAAACAACCCAATCGCTGGGTTTTCCATATTTTACCCAGCACTGTATTTAACCCAGCATTTTTTTAGAGTGCTTTCAATACAATGTAATGTAGGTGAGAATGTAAATGACAGAGTGAATAAGAAAGACAGAACAGTGAACTCTTACCTCAGGCGGTGAGAAGCTTCATGATACACATCTACAGGGCCTCCTCGCCCTACACCATTCCTGAAACACCCAAATACAGGATTTCATTACTCATCACGACATGACAGTTCAACCTCAAGCAAACACTGTTCAGTGAACTGAATTCAGTGTTGAAGGAGTAATTCACCCAGAAATTAAAATTTCCTGAACATTTGCTCACCCTCAGGCCATCCAAGATGAGCTTGTTTCTTCAATAGACCAGATTGTGTGAAATTTAGCATTACATCACATGCCCACCAATGGATCCTCTGCAGTGAATGGGTGCCGTCAGAATGAGAGTCCAAAAAGCTGATAATAATCCACAAATACTCACAACTCCAGTCCATCTATTAATGTCTTGTGAAGTAACAAATCCATCATTAAGGCATTTGTTTCACTTCCAGAACTGTTTGTTTGTTCAGAATTGTTATGGAGTTTTTTGCTCTTAAACAGTGCTTGATCTGTGCATATTTCTTTCCTGATTCAGAAGAGATGACTTTTCACTGGAGAAAGAAATTTTATGAATAGAGGACTCTTATTAAGCTGGAACCAACAGTTTAAATGTAAAAATTATGGATTATGATTTATTACAAACATGCAGCTTTATAAATGTTTTTATCAGCTGTTTAGACTCTCATTCTGATGGCACCCATTCACTGCAGAGGATCCATTACTGAGCAAATAATATAATGCTAAATCTCTCCAAATCTGTTCCCATTAAAAATCAAACTCATCTACATCTTGGATGACCTGAGGGTGAGTACATTTTCATTTCTGAGTAAACTATTTTAAATTCAAAACAAACAATATAAAGCCTTTTATTTTAGTACTCCATAAATAAGAGGCGAAGCAAACATGATATTCTTTGGCAGCCAATGAATGTGAAGGAAAATGATGGTGCTCTCTAAAGTGCTTCTCTTCAGGCAGGGCCTCTGAGTTATTGATCCTTCTGAATTCACACAAGTCAAAATCACTCAATTATTCATGCATCATGAACTTTGGCCTTGCACTGAATGAGCATCTCTTAAAAAAATATTTAGCTCCGGACTATTTGTTTTATGTCAGTATTTTCTATTTATTTTTCATTTAAACTCAGCTTAAAAGAAGAGTTCATGTTTCCAAAGTGAACAAGTAGTGGGCAAAAATAATCATGAAAATGATTTTTGTCATAATCAAACAGCCCTATCTTACGTTATTTGGTGAATTATCCTTTTAAGGAACTGTTTCTACTTTAGCTGACCCTCAAAATTACTGGTTTAATTCGGTCACATTAAATGTTTTTCCTATGAAGCCACATTGGAAAAGAAAGGTGAAGAGAATTCTAACAAGTCACGTCAGTTTTTCATTACAGCACAAAGCAGACGCACCACAATCTCAGTGACGCCGCAGTTCTATCAGGGAACATCTTAGTCATCACACTCACCTTTAAAGAAGACTTATGTAAGAAACCCTAGCGTGGTGCTTTTGTATTTTAGCTAACACAGTCTGACATCTCACATCTCTGTAAAACCTCTGTGTCCTCCAGCACAGATGGATGAACAGACCTATCACAGCTTTTGTTCAAAGAGCAGCTATTCTCCCAGGATATTTATAGCTAGATTGTCCCTGTGCTCTCCTATCTAGTGGAAAATCAAGTCTGGTCTCTGGAGAGAAAACAGCAGACAACCTCTAAGACGGATGAGAGATGCTTTCCAAGACCAATGCAGCTCAGCTGTTCATTTGACTCATGGAGGAAAAATCCTCCAAAAGGATGAAGTTTTACAAATCTACAGATCAGATTATATATACAATGTTTTCATTATAGCTGTTATTTACTGTATAAAAGATATTAAAATAAATAAAACTAAGCTGATCTTTACATTTTCCATCTTTCAGACTTCAAGCTTTTAAAATAATGTTAGGGATGCATAACTACAGTACATAGACATATTTAAATATTATAGCTAATAACTATTGTTGGTTACGACTTTTAACTTTTAAAGTAATTTAAAAAAAATTCAGTAATTAAAATTAAGCTAAAGTAAAGTAAAATCTTACATGAAAAATGTAAGATATATATATATATATATACTGTATATAGATATATATAGATATAATGCTAAGGTAACACTACCACAAGAGGTAAATATAAATAAAATAGCCATTTTTTCAATATTCTAAATAAATTAAAAATAAAATAACTTTCACACATGTAAATTTAGGCATCATATTATATTATTACATACAATATGAAAAATGAATAATTAATTAATTAATTGGCTAAAGATTACATTGCCAGTGTTACATTTATTAGTGTTTTTAAAGATTATATAAAAAGTAAGTGTTAGCCGATGGTAATCTAAATATTAAAAATGGAAATGAGGATCACAATTAAATACACAGCACAAACTAATCCTGATAAATAACAAAAACTCTAATATCAGCTAAAAACTGATATGGAACTACATGCTTCCCTGTGTAATATAATGTAATCACACAACTGGTGTTTCACTGTACGAATATAAGGCAATGCAGTAGTTATTGAAGTTCAGAGGCCATTGCATATAGATAAATCATGGGCAAGATGTGCTTATCTTTGTGTTTATATGGTGTCATATTTACGACAGCAACGTACAAGTCAACACTCAAAAACGGATGAATACGAAGCTCAGTGTGTGTCCTGTACCATCCTCATCTGCGTCCTGCTCGCATCACTTGCAGTGCAATAGAGGAGGAAGAACAGGAGAATCCTAAAAATATCCTGCTGCATCTCCCACATTAAGCCAGCCAGACCTCTCGCCCTCTTCCTACTGCATTATGTAACATCGGATCCGTTGCTATAGCAAACGCGACTTCGCAGTCCACACATCTGAACAAGCCCAATCTAGTCACTCTCTACACAGAGACGCATGCTTATTGGCCTTTTTGCCACTTCATATTGAGACGAGACTGAGAATGGACAAGAAAAAATGGAAAGAGTGGGAATGGGATGTTTGTTTTCATTAAATGTTTGTTTTCATATATTTTTATTAAAATATAACATTCTCCAGCTCAGAAATGACTTTTCTGCTGATGTAACCCAGGCCAAACTGGTGGGG